TTCTGCTCCGATAGGAGAAAAAAATGTTTCTAGATCCCTTAAGGTAGCTTGATATTCCGTTGATCAGCATGTAAGCAGGTGGCATAGCAGCTACAGTCGCTGACCTGAGGAGTGTCACTGCTACTCCATTGGGCTAATGGTACTAGAAAGTAGTACAGTGTTCCCATGATCACTAAATCACTTTCTCCTTAGTAAAGAAATCGGTCACATTTGCTACAGGTGCTGTTGGAAGAATAGAACCATTGTGTTTTTTGCCATGGGCTTCAGCCACCATCATCTAGTTTGACACAGAGCTCCTGCGTGAATTCAGTGGCCATTTTGGACACAGATGTGGTTTATATAGCACTATTTGCATCACTAAGGCACCCTTTACAATGGCTCTGCTCTGCAACATCAGGTGACAGTGGTATTTTCTGGGTCACAGGAAAATGGAGAGCAAGAAGCAAAAGTACGTGCACCCATGTGAGGAGCTTCACTGACACTCCATTGAGTAAAGGTACTAGAAAATACAGTAATCCCATGATCACTAAATCACAATTTTGTTCCATTATTAAACACACAGTAGTCACATAATAATCACATTTGATATTGATGCTTGGGGGGGGGGGGGTCCCAGAACAGAACCAATGTGTTCTCTGCCATGGGCTCCGGCCACCATCATCTAGTTTGACACAGAGCTCTTGCGAGATTTTGATGGCCATTTTGGACACAGATGTGCTTTATATAGCATAATCTGTCACTATGGCTCTTCCACATCAGTTGACAGCAGCCCACTGTCAACTGATTCTGAGTCACAGGAAAACTAAGCTCAAAAAGCAAGTGCACTTGTCAGGACCTGAATCTGAACCCAAGACCTCTGCTGTGTCTGGCAGTAGCTCTTCTTGTTGAGATGCTGAACAGCTCCCTTCTGATCCTTTAGACAATTTTGCCATGTACCATGTTTTTCATGAACCTTGAACACCTTGCTCTTCTCATGAACTTCCTGATTTAAACCATGTTGCTACACTTCCTGTTTGACAGATTATTGTGCTCTCTGCAGCCAATATCTCATTCTTGTCACACCTTCTGATGTCCGTCCTGTCACTTAACCCATCTTTGGCTTGTTCCTCAACTGCTTTAAACCATGTCTCTTGTTCCTCAACTGTGCTTCTGCTTTATTCTAACCTGCAACCACTTTTTACTGAACCTTGACTTGTTTACTGACTATGCTTCAGCTTGACCCCTACCTGCTATATCTGCTACTGGACCCCAGCTTGCTCACATCCTGGTGGGACGATCCTGAGGACCACAACCTGGTACTAACATGCAGCAAAACCCATTTCTACCATCAAGACCTCTGGTGGTACTTAGACCCCCCGCATCTCGGGTGAGCCCGCATCATCCGTTAGGGTGACCTGCTTCTATAACTGCTCTGCTGGTATAAATATAGGTAAGTATACAGATCTCTTTTATACAGGTTAAGCAGAATAGGAGGAAGGAAGGAATATTTTTAAGACTAGAGACTGTTAGGATTTTTCTTCCACTTTAAGAGGTTTTTTTAGCATTCTCTACTACCAAAATACCCTATGCCATACATTCCAATGTTAAAGTGGTTGTAAAACTTCTCATATACCCGGTGAAGTGAATAGCCTCAGATGATACACAGAGGTGAAACAAATCCTCCTGCATAAGTTTTACTTGTTTACTTGCAGTCTTCTCTTTTGTACATCTCCTTAAAAGTGCTAATTTTAGATAAAATCCTTCTGCATTTCTCAGTATCACAGAGGAGGGGGCAGGGAGCTGCAGTTAGAGCTGACTGGAAGAAAAGGACACTCACCCCTCCGCACAGCACACAGGAGCTACAGTATGTTCTAAATACACAAGCTGTCTGCTGAGTTCTCCCCCCTCCCATCCCTCCGACAGAAATTTATCTCATGTGTCGGGAAAACTTCTTAGAAGTGACACATGCTGTGTTGTGCAGCATTTCTCTCATTACACTACTGACACTGATGATGACATTATAACAGGCAAATCCTCTTACTGATCACTGAGAAAATAAACTGTAATGGACAATCTAAATATCTACCAAACAGAAACAGGTACAGTTAAAATATTTGCAATGTGTATAGTGTATAGCCAAATCTTCACTTAAAGTGTTAGTAAACCCAGAACCCTGCATTCACCATATCTGTTCTCCCACAGTACACAGAACATGCAAATTAAATTATTTTAGTAAACATAATCAGCAGTATATAGTAGTCTATCAGTGTCCAGCAGAGCACTGGTTAACACTTATAGGAGGAGTTTTCTTTCTCCCCTGATTGTCCTATGAGGCTACATAACACCTGACCATCTGTCAATCACATGCACTCTCCCAAGAAAAAAAAAACTCTCTAGTAATACATACCATACTGAGCATGTGCAGCTTACCCCCAAGGCTCTGTTCTATCAGCAGATGGATTGGGAACAGTAGAAGAAGGGGAGGATCAGAGAAGACAGGATAAAACAGTCTTTTTAGACAATGCAGAGAATTAACCCCCTAAGTTCCACAGTGAGCATAACAAGCATTACATCCTTCATTATCTGGAGAATGGGGCAATTTAATAATATGCTTCACTGCCTATACAGACTGATTTTACTGTTGTGGGTTTAGTAATACTTTAAAACATAAAATGCTGAAAGAGCAAAATAAGCATCTTTTCTGTTCCCCTCTCTCACGGCTTACTGTTACAGGTCTTCTCTAAAGCTGAACTCCAAACATTCACAATATTATTAAATTGCCCCATTCTCCAGATAATGAAGGATGTAATGCTTGTTTTTTTCCAGGGGATGAGATACAACAGGGTATTACATACCTGTCTCAAAACAGCAGGCAGTCTGGTCCTCTTCCTCTTCTCAACAGCACCAGAATGTGGACAAGCACTGACATATCATCATTTCCAAAGCAGGGCAAGTGGCCAAGTCATTAAGATAGGATGTGACTGCTGCTTTTGCATTGTACGTGATAAAGTCACCAAGAAGAGTGCCTTGGGGGGACTGGTCATCACAACCAAAACTGTCAGGAAGGAAGACTGCAGAACCCTGAATTAAAGTGTTACTAAACCCACAACAGTAAAATCAGTCTGTATATGCAGTAAAGCATGCTTGTTATACTCACTGTGGAACCTAAGGGGTTAATCATCTGCATTGTGTAAAAAGGCTGTTTGATCCTGTCTTCTCTGATCCTCCCCTTCTTGCAGTATTTCCCTCTGATCTCCTGATAAGATATATCGTGTGGAGACACTTCACATGCTCAATTTAGTGTGTATTGCTAGAGAGGTATTTTTTTCTTGGTAGAGTGCATGTGATCAGCACAGGGCCAATCAGCACTCTCCAGACAGAGGTCAGGGGTTTTTGCATCCTCCTAGAGAAAACTCCTCCTACAAACTTTAACCAGTGCTCTGCTGAACACTGATAGAAAGCACAAGACTGTTCTAACTGCTGATGAGAGAAGGTATTCAGCAGTTTATATTTATTAAAATAATTGCATTTCCATGTTCTGTGTACTGTGGGAGACCAGATATAGTGAATGCCGGGTCCTGGGTTTAGTAATACTTTAAGATAAGTACTATTCTGTTTTAGAAAAAATGAACATTAAACTCTTTATCTGGCACTGAAGGGGGCATTTAAATAATTCAGAGAATGCCATAAATTAGGCTGTAGATTGAGCAGTTGTCATTTCCCCAGTCCACTTTCATGCATTTTATTACTTTTTCCTGCGTTCTATTTTTGGGATTTTCTCTTTCTGTTTGCATCCCATTCCTCTGACCTTGCTGTTTCATCTTGTTATCTTGTTGCCCATGTGCATGATATCACAGTTCTAAGTGAGAAGTGCTTGGAAATATATATGCATATACAGAAAGAACATGGCAAGTGTAACAGGTGCTACTGCCTGTGGCAAAACCAGCCGAATGAATATTATAATGGACAGTCTGAGCAAAGCGTTCCTGTCCCAATCTCAGCCAGCAGAACACAGAGACAGCAGAAAACATGGCAATCAAAAAGGAAACTATTTATTTTATGCTTGTTAGAAGAAGCAGAATGAGAGAAAAAAGTTTTTAGTGTTGCAAATCCCCAGGGTGGAAGACAAGGTGTGACACGACACAGTGGCACTGTATGGATTTCTCCTGGTAGAGAGATAATACTTATCTTGCATTACATCTGGGTTCATAATGTGCTATGTACAAATCATAAGAATCTTTGATGTTATTCAGTGGCGCTAAAGTCAAGTCACAATACTTCCTGCACCGTTGTTACATAGAAAGGCTAAAGTCAGTGTAAACCCATATAAACATTCTTTAAAGTGGTATTAAACCAAAAACCAAAAATTGAATATATTGTAGCTCACCAATCCTTACATATGACAGCTGCATTAGTTTTCTTGGTTTAGGATTTTCCCCTTGTGTTCTGGCCAGTAACAAACCTCCTGTATTAGAAAGACACCACTCTGGATGAATGAGCACAGGGGCAGATTCAAACAACAGCTTTGTCAGTCTGGGGGATGGGAGTATTGAATCTACCAGCAGATTTAAATACACTAACAAACTGAAGCTGAACTCCAGCTAACATTTTATTATCAGATACAGAAACAGTATTGTTTTCCTTTTATGATAAAGGTTTTGAATCATTGAATAAAAGATGATCATTTAAAGCACCCCTGCCAGTGTTAAATGGTTTGCCTCATCCCTGTAAGTGCAAAAGTGCTTGTTCTGTTGAGAAACAACAAACTTGACCAGTTCTGCACCACCCTATAGCAGAAATACTGCTACAGGGCAACACGGGTGTGCAAAATCACAAAAACATATATATATATGTGATTTTGCAGTTACGGGTAGGGGGCAATTTGCGGCCTCGGCTGTTAATCACCGGGGTCCCAACTAATGATTACTCGCCAGCACCCTGTGATCGCCGACAGGGGAGAAACCTGTGTGGAAAACACACAGATATCTCCCCTGTCAGCTCCTGCACACTACTTTGTATGCCTCTGCATATCAGAGCCATACAAAGTAGTGTGATTACAGGGAAACGCACACAGCCGACATAGTGAAACGGCACACAGTTAACCCTTTGATCGCCCCAGATGTTAACCTCTTCCTGTCCAGTACTATTAGTACAGTGTCAGTGCATTTTATTAGCACTGATCACTGTATTGGTGTCACTGGGGATGTCAGTGACACAGTTAACCCTTTGATCACCCCAGATGTTGACCCCTTCCTGTCCAGTACTATTAATACAGTGTCAGTGCGTTTTATTAGCACTGATCACTGTAATTGGTGTCACTGGGGATGTCAGTGACACCAAGTCCGTTCCCCCCAGTGTCAGAATGCCGCCGCAGTCCCGTTATAAGTCGCTGATCGCTGCCATTACTAGTATAAAAAAAAATCCAGTATATATACCGTCATTTGTTAACGCTATAACTTTCACGTAAACCAACTAATTTACACGTATTGGGATTTTTTTTTTAGCAAAGACAGGTAGCAGAATACATTTTGGCCTAAATTTATGACGAAATTTGAATTTTTACATTTTTTTGCTTGACATGTTTAATAGCAAAAAGTCAAAAATATTGTTTTGTTTTCAAACATTGTCGGTATTTTTTTGTTTATAGCGTAAAAACTTTAAAAAAGCACAGGAGATCAAATACCACTGAAAGAAAGCTCTATTCGTGGGGGAAAAAAAGGACATAAATTTAATTTGGGTGCAGCGTTCCATGACCGCGTAATTGTTAATAGTTATATTACCACAGGGCCGTATCGAGTAAATGGGCTGTCAGGAAGGGCATGTCAGTAAAAGAGATGGCTCCTCTGGATGGTCTCCTGTCACCTTCACAGGTTAATACATGTTCCTTCTCGTGCACGCAGGAAATGGACACGTGGATATCCGCATGCACAATGGTACTAGTACCCGTGCGCTTACATGTGCACATGAGTGTGCTCATGTGCAGGACTGCTGTTAGAAACCATACAGCCAACATGACAGGGCCCCCCTCCCCAAACAAAAGCACTGTTTACTATGCTTCAGTTATGAATGAACACAGTGAGTGTTTGGTACTGATCACTCATTGGGGTTGATTTACTAAAGGCAAATAGACCTTGCACTTTGCACAATGCAATTGCATTCTGCAAGTGTAGATGCTCCAGAGCTTAGTAAATTGCATTCTGCAAGTGTATTTGCTCCAGAGCTTGGTAAATTGCACTTTGCAAGTGTATTTGCTCCAGAGCTTGGTAAATGAGGTATAGCTTCACTTTGCAAAGAATACCCAATCACATTCAAAGAAAATTAAAAAAATTGCGTTTTTGTTTGCATGTAATTGGATGATGGAAGTCAGCAGATTTTCTGCTCATTTACTAAGCTCTGGAACAACTACTCTTGCAGAGTGCAACTGTGATTTGCAAAGTGCAGAGTCTATTTGCCTTTAGTAAATCAACCCTATTGTGTTCATTCAGGAAAGGAAGAGGCTGGTAAATGTGACATATTTACCAGAACCTTCCCCCACTTTCCATCCTGAAGGATCCTATTGTGTGATGGCAGCTGCCGATGGGAAGCTGGCAGCACTGCGGGGTGAGGGGCACATGGGGGGCAAGGGCAGCAGGGGGAAAACATATTATACACAGGGAGGGCAATGGGCATAGTGGTGGGGTCAATTACTGGAACTGATCCCCTGTATAGCTCTCTCTGCAGCTGCTGAAAGCCAACAGGAGGGAAAGGAGCAGAAGCCAGCTTTCAGCTGCTGCAAAGAGAACCATACAGGGGATCAGTTCCAGTAATTGACCCCCCCACCACCACCACCATGCTGATCAACCTCCCTGCCCACATCAGATTAGCCCAGCTGCCTTGGCCCCCTTAATGGCCTGGGCCCCGTACAGGAGGACTGGTGGTATCCCCTTATCCCAGCCCTGCTCATGTGCACTTGTGATAGATGTAGGTGCCAGACAGGCTATTTACCACTTGCCGGCCACAGATAGCCAAATGATGGCTTCACTGCGGCCGGCCAGTTGTGGGAGGGCGTCATATGACGTCCTCCCAAAACGTGCCCTCCCGCGAGCCCACGGGGGTGCGCATCTGGCGATCTCCGTGATCGCTGTGCCCTACGGACACAGCTGATCACGTGATGTGATAAAAGGCCAATCACAGCAGCCTTTTACCACATGATCAGTGTATGCAATGACACAGCAGATAACCGGTAAATGCAGTTGCCGGTTATCGGCTGCACTTTCCTCACACTGTCACAGTACTGCCAATAACCGGTATTGTCAGAGGATGGATCAGCACCGATCATCAGGGCACTGATAATCAGTGCCCTGAGATTAGTGCCCAGCAGTGCCACCCACCACCTGTGCCCAGCAGTGCCACCCACCCGTACACATCAGTGCCTAGTAGTGCCACCCACCAGTGCCCATCAGTGCCGTCCATCAGTGCTGTCCAGCAGTGCCACCCATCAGTGCCAATCAGTGCCGCCAGTCAGTGCCCAGCAGTGCTGCCAGTCAGTGCCATCAGTCAGTGCCACCCATCAGTGCCCATCAGTGCCACCTATCAGTGCTGCCCATCAGTGCCGCCTATCAGTTCCCATCATTGTTGCATATCAGTGCAGCCTCATCAGTGCCACCTCATCAGTGCCAGCTCATCAGTGTCACCTATTAGTGCCGCCTATCAGTGCCCATCAGTGCTGCCTATCCGTGCCACCTCATCAGTGCAGCCTATCAGTGCCCATCAGTGCTGCCTATCAATGCCCATCAGTGCTGCCCATCAGTGCAGCCTCATCAACGCACATCAGTGAAGGAGAAAAATTGCCTGTTTGCAAAATTTTATAATAGAAACAAAGAAAAACGTTTTTGTTTCAAATTTTTGCTCTTTTTTTGTTTATAGCACAAAAAATAAAACACCCAGCGGTGTGTAAATACCACCAAAAGAAAGCTCTATTTGTGTAAAAAAAATTATAAAAATTTCATATGAGTACACTGGTACATGACCGCTCAATTGTCATTCAAAGTGCGACAGCGCTGAAAGCTGAAAATTGGTCTGGATAGGAAGGGGGTATAAATGCCTGGTAGGCAAGCGGTTAAACTGTGCCAGTGCTCATGATCAGTGCTGCATTGTGTTCGGCCCCTTTTGTATACTGTGACCCCCGTGATTCTGTATACTGATTCCAGTTGCTGAGCTGGCTTGTCCTGCCTACCCTCTCAATTCTGCCTTCATGATCTTGGCTTGTCCTCTGACTTCTGCTCCTGTCTGCTCCATTGGCTTCTGCTTCACTGATTGGTTCCAGAACCAGCTTGTTCCCTGACCACACTTCTGCCTGTGACCTTGATCTATCCTGTCTGTGTATGAATCAGCCTGCCTGACTCTACTACATTGCTTGCTCTTACCGGTACCTGCCTACCATCCTGCTGATCTACAGTCTGCTACCAACAATTGTCTCATCCGCCAGTATCAGTTTAATTCAATTCTCTGCCCAGTTGTCTGCCAGTCTGCCTGTCTTATTGAAGACCCCTGACGACTTCACATGTCCAGTGTGGACACCTGCTCTGCTGCTAGCAAGACTTACAGGGACTTGTACCACTCTACACTCCTGCATCTTCTGTTTACACTACCAGAAGCCCAGAGTCAGAGGTGTATGAGGGGCCTTCCTCATCATGTGAGGCTATGTGATATGGGCCTTCCACTACATGCTTCTGTGAAGTGTTTCTCAGCCATCTTGTTAAAATCTAAGAACTCTTGACAAGCATCCCTATGTCTATTTCATGAGCAGCCAATAAATCAGCTTGTGTGTAGCAGCCAGAAAGTATAAACTAGACAGATGTATATGTATAAGCTGTAGATGTAGCACCCTCCTAGTTTGATAGCTAGGATGTTAGGGAAATTTAGTTCTTTTTGGCTCATCTGTATTCCGTGGAGCAGATGTTGATAACTTTTGGCTGTTCTGTATTTCACAGGCTGTAGGTTTGATTGCTTTCCCCTGCCTTCCAGAGGCTTCTGGAACATAAAAGGTTGAGCAAGGCAATTGGGCAGCCTGAATATTTATTGTGCTCCAGCCAATCCATTGGGGATGTGCTCAGAAGATGGCAAAAGAGGCATATATATAGTGTGGGATTTGGAGCAGTAGGGTTCTTCTTCTTCTCCTTCTTGAAGGGAATCCACCCATCTGGGTGGGGGGTATCCACAGCCACCAGCAGTAGCACTTAAAATGGTTGTAAAGGCTCAAACCTTCTGTGTCAGCTGTGCCCCCAGCCCCCTCATTACTTACCTGAGCCACATAGCAATCCAACAATGTGCACATCAGCCTCAGCTGTCCTGGGTCTCTGTCTCCTCATTGGCTGAGACAGCAAGCAGAAGCCATTGGCTCCCACTGCTGTAGATCACAGCCAGTCATCCAATGAGGAGAGAGAGGGGCAGGGCAAAGCCATGCCTCCCTGTGTTAATGGACACACAGGGCAGCAGCTTGGGAACAGCCTGCTCGGGTGCCCCCATAGTAAGCTGCTTGCTATGGGGGCACCCGACAGAAAGGAGGAACAAGGAGCACCAGCAGGGGACCCAGGAAGAGGAGGATCCAGGCTGCTCTGTGCAAAACCACTGCACACAGCAGGTAAGTATAACGTTTGTTATTTTTTTAAAAAAATGAACCTTTAGAATCGATTTACCTGAGTTTAGCCTTCATTCATTGAGGTCCCAGCTGTGGCAAAGCTGGAGGTCCTATTTACCAGGATCCCTGTTTGGAGCTAGTTCAGGAACCTGGTATAGAGAGCTCACTGAAGAGTGCCCGGTGGAAGTTAGGAGTCTGGCTTTCCTATGGCATTGTGAGCACTAACCACTTCCTCGCAGAAGATGTCTTGTGGATACTGCAAGGAGACATCTATTGATCCTGTGATGTTGTGAGTATTGACCTGATCCTAGGGCTTTTGTGCGTGCTGCATCCCTTGGGTGGATAAACCAGTAGTATTCCTGCTTGGGATAGTTTCTAAGAAAGGGCTCAGTCTCTGCCACCCACACTTGCTCCTGTATAAAGACTTCTCAGAGAGATTTGGGAAAGGGAAGTGTCCTCCTTTAAATATTTAGTGAATCTGGAGTATCCTGTAGGCAGGCGCTCAACCACAGCGGCACTGCAGAGGGAGAGGAAGTCAAAAGGAACCTAACTCCTCTATGGTTTCCTGGGTCACAGGGGCAGCTATCCACTTGGATACTAGTGCTTCATGTGACTTTGGTTGCCATTTTGGGTCAGGCACAGTCTACTTAAGACCCTGGCTCCTGCACTTGGTGTACATTTTTTGTGTGGCTAGAGCAGGAATAGGTCTCCAGTTAGTCAGAGACAGTGCTTAACATCAGGTTCCAGAGGAGTAGGGAAAGTGCAGGGACATGCCATCCTACCTGGAAGCCTCCCCACTTGGGTACAGACTGGCCAGGCCG